CCCTGGCCATGCTGAACCGGCCCTTCACCGACGGCGCGTAGTAGGTGTAACCACCACCACTGCTGACCCCAGCGAGCCATTCCAGCCCCTTCCCGGGGCTCTGGCGCACCCAGTCCATGGTGTGGCTGCCCAAGGAGGTCGTTGGTCCCGACCTTGGGCCTGGTTTGGCCCCAAATTCCCCACCTTTGGCCCCAAACCCCAACTCTTTGTCCCAAATCTCCGCCCTTGACCCCAAAGAACAGTCACTGACCCCAAATGTCAACCATTGACCCCAAATCTCAACCATTGACCCCAAATCTCAACCAGTGGCCCCAAATCCCAACCATTGACCCCAAATCCCAACCATTGACCCGTATCATGATTGTTGACCCAAATCTCAACCATTGACCCCCAATCTCTGCCCCGTTCAGCCCCTGTGGCTCCTCTGCCGCCCCTCCGGCTTCACCTTCGGCGACTACACCATGTACTGGGTGCGCCAGAGCCCCGGGAAGGGGCTGGAATACGTTGCTGGGATCAACTATAATGGTCGTTACACCGAGTACGCGCCGTCGGTGAAGGGTCGATTCACCATCGCCAGGGACAACGGGCAGAGCTCGGTGACGCTGCAGATGAACAACCTCAGGGACGAGGATTCCGCCACCTATTTCTGTGCCAAAGCTGGTGGTGCTGGTTGGGGGGGTGCTGATGGCATCGACCCCTTTGTTGGGTCCCCAAAGCTCCACCCCTCACACCCAAATCTGAACCGATGATGCCAAACGTCAAACGTTGAACCCAAATGCCAACCATTGACCCGAAATCTCAACTGTTGGTCCCAACCTTTACCTTTTGAGGAGTTTGGGGTCAAGGGTTGTGGTTTGGGGTCAATGGTTGAGATTTGGGGTCAATGGCAGAGATTTGGGACAAAGAGTTGGGGTTTGGGGGCCAAAGGTGAAGAATTTGGGGCAAAACCAACCCAAAATCAGGACCAACGAGCGAGAGCTGGGTGTGAAGGGGCGGAGCCTTGGGGGGAGGGTATGGGGAGGTTTGGGGACCCCACAAAGGGGGTCGATGGCATCAGCATAACCCCAACCAGCAGATCGAGCTCTGAAATGTTTGGCACAGAAATAGGTGGCGGAATCCTCGTCCCTGAGGTTGTTCATCTGCAGCGTCACCGAGCTCTGCCCGTTGTCCCTGGCGATGGTGAATCGGCCCTTCACCGACGGCGCGTAGTAGGTGTAACTACCACTGCTGCTGATCCCAGCGAGCCATTCCAGCCCCTTCCCGGGGCTCTGGCGCGCTCAGCCCGTGATTTGGGTCAATGGTTGAGATTTGGGTCAACAATCATGGTTTGGGGTCAATGGTTGAGGTTTTGGGGTCAATGGTTGGGATTTGGGGTCAATGGTTGACATTTGGGGTCAATGGTTGACATTTGGGGTCAATGGTGTGGATTTGGGGTCAATGGTTGGGATTTGGGGTCAATGGTTGGGATTTGGGGTC